AGGAATGAAAAATTGCTGCTTGGTGTTAAGTGAGAAATTGTATTCAATTTGTGGAGAATGAAACTGATGCGAAGTTCTCTGGATATACCTATAGCACAGCAGCCAGGAACAATCTCTCTACGGAAGAACTCGTCACCACCTTGGGCAGTGCAGTCACCACACTGCCAAAACATGCAGTTCAGGTTATCCGTCACGTGTGGAACGAGCAGGGCGAGTCCATCAGTGTGTCAGAAGATGCAGGAAGTGTGGCCGCAGTGGGGCAGGTAACCAAGTGATGATGTGTAGTTGAGCAAACTGTCAATGTTTCAGCAATGTCAGTGTCTCATTGTGCATGTTGTGTTGTCAGGCACGTGGTGCTGTCTGCACTGCTGAAAGATTTCCTCTCTCTGTGTGCGTACATGTTGCAAAATACCTACCCAGATGAAGCAGCATGGACAATAAAGGTTGTCTATATGCTGAACAGTTTGTTAATACTATTTGGATGATAAAGTCACATTTCATACCTTTTTAAAAATTAATACTTTGTAGCAGTATTGGGAAGGTGAGTGGCAGTCAGCCTGGCAGATAATTCTATAAACTGCTTATGTAAACCTGTTTCAAATCTGATTTGAATTGTTCTTTAAAGCTGATAACATCAGCATTTGATGGTTTATTCTTTGTCTCCCTTAAGTTCAAACAGTTTTTAAAGATACTTACTGTCAATTTCCTGCATTGTTTTTTCCCTTGAAAAAATAGCAATGTATTTTCATTTTAAGATCTTTTTTTCTAACAAGTTTAAAAGAATATAGAATTAGGAAAAAAACCCAAACATCTTTGAGACCTTCTAAAAGCTTCATAGAACCTAAAAATAACTTAACCTGTCTGAAATGTGTTTATTATATACTTTATCTAAAATGAGATAATTAAATGCCTTAATTTCTCTCTGTTACTGCTATTATACGTTTTTGTTTTAGTTTTAGAAACTTTGATTTAGAATATTCTAAGAAAAAAAGAAAACGTGACGAAAGCATGTATGATATACGAGCCAGGTGAACTCTGTGGCTTAAGCTCCTCTTACTAGAACTTTAAATAGGCTGTACTCGACTATTGACAGTACTTGAATAAGGAAAATGGAGTAAGTGAAATAAACTAAACTGCTTATTTTTTCACTGTTAAAAGGAAGAGTAGATTTTTTTAAAATCCATAATAATATCTGAACATGCATGTTTGTTTTCCAGTTGGGTGGGAGCTCTAGATGTCCTGTATTGTCCTTAAAACATCCCTCCAGCAGAACAGCAATGATAAAGTAGATTTTTTTTCTTTGACACTTTGAAATTTTCTTCTTTGTAGTTTGTAGATATGAAATGGAAACTGGGAGTTGCAATGAGCTCTGACACCTGCAGGTCTCTGAAGTATCCCTATGTTACAGTGACACTCAAAGTGGCAGAGCCTTCAGGACAGCTAACAGAGAAATCTTTTGAAATGACGATCCCACAGTTCAAGGTCTGTAGTCAGTGTTACTTCACTCAGCCTCCTAAAACCAACAGTGCCATTGCTGTGAGGGAGTAACTGTGTGCCTTGATGCAAACATTTGTGTTGCTTGTGTACTAATACAGCCATTCAAAGATGAAGCATTAAATAACTATTTAAAACACAGAACATAAATACTTATTTCATAGCATTTAGTTCTACATCACTTACCTGAAAATGTTAATTTAGCAGTAATCAATCTGTTCTCTTACAAGTAAACTAACGACTGAGGACATAAAAACTTTCAGATCTCAGCTATCATTGTCTGCCTTGTTAAAAACTGGTAGAATATTCTTAATCTATGGAAATGTTCCCCAACCTCAAAATCTAAGACTTGGCTTAAGCCTAACACTTGCTAATGATTAGGAATGGAGGTCAGTCTGCTTTGTCATCACTGACTCTTAATTGCTACATTTTCATCTACGAATTTATGTAACTTTAATTTTGCTTAAATGTGTCACTTGTGTTGTCATTCCTGTTTAAAGGGCCAACACATCGCCTAGAATATGATGTAAGCTTAAAATACATAGATCCTTGGAGCTGGATTGGCAGAAACTTGAGAAGGATATCCTGAATCCATGGGAAATGCTGTATTCATCCTGGTTGAAGCCTGTTTAATAATTTGCCATTCAGCTCCTAAAAGAAATGGATGCTACATTTGTGAAGTCTGGGTTATTTCAGCTGGGAGTAGAAATAGTAGCATGAGAAAGTGGTTTTTTAATTTAATTTTTTTATGGTGTGAGAGCTACTTTATATTTTCCTTTCATAGCATATTTTCCTATTAATAGGCAATATAAATTTATTTGATAGATGCATAACACATACACAATAAATACTATGTATATATAATATAAAAACATTACACAAATAAGGCACCACCTGTGTAGATCTAACAGTTCATGTGCACAAAAGCCAACCAGCCCACAAAAAGGAAAGCAGAAACTTTCAGTTCAAGCTGCACATTGTTACTGGAGGAAAGAGGGAATGTGAGAAATACGGCTTGTGTTTTTTGTCCAACATGCTAGTTTGAACTGCAGTTCAAGCTTCTCTTCTAGCAACTGAAATTTATCTTAATTCTTGCTTTTTAGAACTTCTTCAGACAGTTCAAGGAAATGGCAGCTGTAATTGAAACAATTTGAAGAGAACTTTCATTTACAGTGAAATTTTGGATGAAGATCAAGTAAACTTTCTGTTCTGCACAGGGAATAAAGTGCCATTGTACAGCAAGGTATGTTATCCTTGTCTTTTCGCCAGGAATTGGTCAGCATCATCCTTGCATTGCTGTGAAGATTTCTTCACTTTTCAATACTTGAAGCCAACTCTGCAGTGTTTGTGAAAACATGTTCAGCTTTGTTCATCCTGGTAGACAAAAGATCAGGATGTGTACAAAGAAGCATCCCTGGAGGCTTCCTAATACCCACGAGTGAGGAACTACATGTTAGGAACTGCACACTGAACTCTGTAATGCAGAAAGACACCTGCAAATGTTGACTGGGAAGATACTGGGAGAAAGGTACATCCCACCTTTGTCTGTAAAACTGGGATGTGCTCAGGCTCAATAATAATATTACATATCAGGAGAATATGAAGTCAAGTGTTAAGCTGATAAGGTTAGTTATTCTTGAAGAATAACATGGTCAGGTAGTTAGTTGCAGGTATTTGCAGACCTGGCTTCCAGTCTTTAATAACGTCCACTTTTCATAACTGGAGAGTGTACTTGTCCTAACAGCTTGTTCATTTCACATACTTATTTCCCACTACTTAGGCTTATAAAAACTAAGTTAACGCATTAAGTTTTTCTGGACATCCAAAATTTATTCTCTGAAATGAAGCCCAGAGGCTAATTTTACATAAAGGTGGAAAGGCAAATTTAATTCACAAGCATTTTAATATATTTTTGCTTTTTGATTTCATCCAATGTTAATCTGTGGCATTCTACATGATGTTTTGGTCAGCAGTCTGCTTTCTGATTCAATTAGAATATCAATGTAGTTGTTTCACTCTGAGCTCTGAACTAGAAGAATCAAGGGGAAACTTGAAAATTCAGCCAAGCACATCAGAGAAAGGTCTGAAAGATGTCATTGCCTGTTGTATTGTGCCAGGCATCCACTGGACTGTTGTGCACACTCGCTCTAAGAGAATGTCCTAACCAGCAATATTTTGATTTTGATGCTAGAGAATGGAGGCATTTCCAAATGGGAGTGGTAAATCCAGTGTGCTTGCATGCTCTTTTTTCTATTTCTCTTTCATTGAGTTTTCCATAAAACAAACCCCAAACTGCTAATACTGTGGGCTGTGATAAAAACAATACTGCTGCATCTCGAAATGTGCTAGTGGTGTAGTAGAGCAAGTAAATCTGAAGAGAGATAATTCATAGTGGTAAGCAGACTGAAGCTTATGCTTCAACTTCAGAACGGTAGACTGAGAACCAGACTTGCAGGGACAGATCTTCAAGTGGTTTCAGGCTCCCTGAAATGAGAACATCTGCCTTTCTAACTTTTCAATTTTTTTAGTTAACTTTTTCAAAAGCTGGCTGAGAGTCACTGATACAGGTTATACCTGCCTTTTTGTGCTATGAAGATAGACTGCAGTACAGTGTGTGCTGCATGCTGCAATCGTTTCAGTACACAGATACAGCCCTGCTCTTGGGGCATTATGCCTTGTGCATGTAAACAGTACTTGAGTGGCTTAGAAGCCCAAATAAGAGAAACAGTGTTGGCTTTACCAGAAGGTTTTGGCCATGGCTGTTGATCTGGGTGATACTTTCTTTGTGCTGCTTGAGGTCTGAGGTCTTTGCTTTGTGGCTGGGGAGAGCAGATTGGTCTTTTCTGGGACCCTCTCAGTGGAATGCCACAAAAGAGTCTTGGGAACATACTTCCTGTTTGCCTCTTTGCTTCTCTGTCTGCCAGGGCTCAGGGCTGAAAATAGTGCAAAAAAATCCTCTCTGGGTGTGGAAAAGTGATGTGAGCAGCTGATTTTGTTAAAATATTTTTGCTTAATGTGCAGAGGTTGAGCGTGTTAAGCAGCAATAACTGGAAAACATTGCCATGCTTTGGCCTCATGAATTAATTGTTTTACATCAATGCAAGAGTTCCAGAAATAGAATATGTGGGGGTTTTTTTTAGTAAAGCTGGAGCCTTCCAAGCACTTCCCATGTGTTCTTATTTACTTAAATTCATATAGCTATAAATACTTGTGCCTTCATTGGAACTGGATGGAAAGGAAGATTTAATTAATCATGTCTTAACAATTCCATAGATGTTAGAAGGTAACAAGGAAACTTCTGGTCTTTCAGCAAGAGGAGAAAGTTGGCAAATTTTGTAAAACCTAAATTACATTTTATCAAGTCAGATATTCTAGAAATATTAGTATTTTTTTAAATGTCCCTGAACTCCAGCCTGTTGTTATTCTGGCTGGAAGATGCATGGACATATGTGCTATTCCAATTTAGTGTCTGAGAGTTCTGAGAGGATTTAAAGTTGGCTATGTACTCAAACATTTGGGATTTGTCCTGATCACTATCAGTAGGAATTCCTATACTGAGTAATGGAAGAATTAAGTACTTTATTAAAAGAAATCAAACTAAAAACCTAACAGCTTGCAGAGTAGCAATACTAACATGTTCCAACAAGCAGTTGAATTGTTTGTCTATATGTGCAGAAACCAGGTCTTTTCAGAGAGAATCAGGAGTCCTTGTGTTCCTAATTCTACTTGTTGATTAATATGAACTTGTATAACATGAATATTTTTGTAAGTCCACAAGCAGTCATTAAACATGTAGGTAACAAAGCTAAAGCTGGTCTGTCTTTTGTTTTAAGCCTACTACTGCATGGAAGCCTGTCTTGTATATACTGTGTAATGAGTAAAGTTCAGGACTAGACTATGACTAAATTTCTTTCCTTATTAAAACAGGATGAAGTTCAGACATATGCAGTCTTTCTCTGTGATGGGGTACCAAGGGTATCTGCAGGCTGAAGGGCATATTTGTAGCAATTATTTACAGCTAGACAAAATGTTGTATTGAACCAGGAAAAGACAGGGGACATACAAGATTAATGAAATTTTGCAGGAAATTGCATACAAGTGGTTTTCTTTCCTTACCTGTATTTAGGAGGCAAGTAAACATTTCAATTTCTCAACATTTGCCTAGAACAGAGCAAGAGGAAGGAAGGGGAACGGAATCTTGCAGAGTCAACAAACCTGAGGAGGGGAAGAATGAAGGAATCTGCTGGCAATGACTGTTTCCATCACATGACCTCTTTCTTTTTGCATTAATTTCAAACACACCAACCAGCACACTTGTAGAAAGCTATTTGGGGAAAGCTCCACAGAAAGAGTGCACAAATGGCTACAGTATGTCTGTGCAGTAGTGTTCTGTGTATTTAGCTTCTGCACACTTCGGCCTAGTCTTGACCCAAGTAAAAGTGTGTATCTGTTCCTGATGCAACAAAATTGTAGTGTCTTTCTTTAACCACATTTTAGAGGTATGTAACCTGTGAACTCACCCCCCTTTGTTTTACCTTCCCCCTTTTAAGGCCTCGCACTCTGTTTGAATGCCTGAAGATACATTACCTTGGACCAACTGAAAACACAGGTAGAGAGATAAACTGGGGAAAGAATGTTCCTTTTTCCTGCTTGCCCTGTTCTTGTCATATTAGAATGTTTTATTACTCTCTTAACTGTAGGTATAATGAGAGGGTAATTTCCACTCCTTTGCAGAGGCATCCAGGGTGGTTCTGTCTAGCCCCTGCAGATACTAGAGTAATACACAAAGGCAAAAAAATGCCCCATCTCTGAAGAACCTCTATGGTGATGTGCGGGGAACTTAAAATTGAGCAGACTATCCTGTCCAGTGATCTCTGGTTGATGATGGTAGGGCTCATTTCCCAGGCAGATTTTTAGTAACGTTACATGTCTGTTGGTGGAACTGCTGGTTTGCTGGGCATTCACTTAATCAGGCAGCTGGATTTGTGCAGGTCAGCACCTAACATGAATGCCTTGACCTAGGTTGAGCTTGCATGATGCTCTCTTATAGTCCTTTCTTCTTGAGGCTCTGCCAGCTTGTAACTGGATTTGCTTGTCACTGTGGAATTTTGGCCAATATCCTTCACGTTTGCTTTTACTGTACAGCACTGTGCATACCTGCTGATCCAGTTCCACTATTGGTTCTTTAGTGTATGAGGTGTTGTGTTTTAACCCTAGCCGACAACCAAGCCCCATGCAGCCACTCACTCCCCCACCGGCAGGATGGATCCATGAGTAAAAGTGGGAAATCTCATGGGTTGAGATCGTTTAATAGGTAAAGGAAAAGCTGTACATGCAAGCAAAGCAAAACAAGAAATTCATTCCCCACTTCCCATGGGCAGGCAGGTGTTAAGCCATTCCCAGGAAAACAGGGCTGCATTGTGTGTAACAGTGACTTGGGAAGACAAGCACCATCACTCTGAGTCTCTTCCCCTTCCTCCTGCTTCCCCCAGCTTTATATGCTGACCATGACTTCATATGGTATGGGTTATCCCTTTGGTCAGTTGGATCAGCTGTCCCAGCTGTGTCCCATCCAGCTTCTCATGCACCCCCAGTCTCTTTGCTGGTAGGGTGGTGTGAGAAGCAGCAAAGGCCTTGGCCCTGTGTAAGCTCAGGTCAGCAATAACAAAACCTCTGTATTATCAACACTTCACAGCACAAGTTCAAAAACACAGCCCCATACTAAGTCCTGTGAAGAAAATTAATTGTACCCCAGCCAAAAACCCAGCACACAGGCAAGCATACGTGTCAGAGGGATCATGTGCAGCACTCGTGCTCAGTCCTGGATGCTTTAAAAGACTTCCTGATTCTTGTTTCCAAGGCTTTTGTGAGGGAAGGTGGGCAAATGACCTGTCATTTGAACTGAGTTATGAGATAAGCCTGTTACGTTACGAATGGCTTTGTGTCATTGAGAAAGTAAGGAAGCTGAAATTGCTGATCTTCTCCGTGAAGGCTAATTTTAGTATTTCTGGGTTTCCTCTTCCCTAAACTGCATTTACCTCCTATGGCTAGTTGCAGTCTGGCTGCCCTAATTTGAGAAACGTTTCTGTTCGATATGAGTAGGTGCCAGAGTTTCCAAATACTCTGCTACTGTTTGCATTACAAATAGTTATAT